CTGTATCTCATTGTCTCTCATTGCCTGTGTCTCTGTATCTCTCACTGTCTCGCTGCCTGTGTCTGTCTCTATTTCTCACTATATCTTTCTCACTGTCTCTCTCTCTCCCTCTTACTGCCTGTGTCTCTATCTCTATTTCTCACTATCTCTGTCTAGCTCTCATTGTCTCTCTGCCTGTGTCTCTATCTCTCATTGTCTGTTTCTTTATCTCTCACTATCTCTCCCTGTCTCTCACTGTGTCTGTCTCACTGTATCTCTTTATCTCTGTCTCTCACTGACTGCGTCTATCTATATCACTCACTGTCTCACTGCCTGTGTCTCTTTCTCACTGTCTATCTCTTTACCTTTGTCTCACTGCTTGTATCTCTGTATTTCTCACTGTATCGCTCACTGTCTATTTCTCACTACTCTGTCTCTCACTATCTCTGTCTCTCTCACTGTCTCACTGCCTGAATCTATTTCTCTCCATCTCTGTCTTTCTCGTTGTCTCTATCTCACTGCATGTGTCTCTCACTATCTCTATTTCTTCCTATCTGTATTCTCACGGTTGCTGTCTCTCTCACTGCCTGTGTCTCTTTCTCACTATCTCTGTCTCTGTCACTCACTGTCTCTTACTGCCTGTCTGTCTCACTATCTCTTATCTCTCACTGACTGCCTATGTTTCTCTATCTTTCTCACTCTTTCTATCTCTTTGTCTCTCACTGCCTGTGTCTTTCTCACTGTCTCTTTGCCTGTGTCTCTGTCTCTATATCTCTTATTATCTCACTGCCTATTTCTCACTATCTCTCATTGTCTCTATTTCTCACTATCTCTCTTTTTCACTGTCTCTATCCATGTCTCTCTCACTATCTGTCTCACTGTCTCTATCTCTCCCTGTGTCTACTGCCTGTGTCTCACTATCTCTGTCTCTCTCTCATTGTCTCTCACTGCCTGTGTCTCTATCTCTCACTGTCTCACTGCCTGTCTCTATTTCTCACTATCTCTCATTGTCTATCTCTCACTGTCTGTGTCTTTCTCACTATCTCTCATTGTCTCTCTCACTGCCTGTGTCTCTGTATTTCTCAGTATCTCTATCTCTTATTGCTCACTGTCTCGCTGCCTGTGTCTCTGTCTCTATTTCTCACTGCCTGACTTTCTCACTGTCTCTATCTCTCCCTGTATCACTGCCTGTGTCTCTTTCTCACTGTCTCACTGCTTGTGTCTCTGTCTCTATTTCTCACTATCTCTCTCTCCCTTTATCTCTTACTGTCTCTGTGTCTCTATCTCTCTCACTATCTCACTGCCTGTCTGTCTCTCACTATCTGTCTCTCAATGCCTGTGTCTTTTTCTCACTGTCTCTTTATCTCTCACTATATATCTTTATCTCTGTCTCACTGCCTGTGTCTCTATCTGTATCACTCACTGTCTTATTGCCTGTGTCTCTTTCTCACTGTCTCTCACTGTCTCTCTCACTGTCTCTTTATCTCTCACTGCCTGTCGTCTCTCACTGTCTCTATTTCTCACTATCTCTCACTGTCTTTCTCACTATCTCCATCTCTTTGTCCCTCACTGCCTGTCTGTATCACTATCTCTTTCTCACTGTCTCTGTCTCTCACTGCCTGTCTGTCTCTATCTCTCACTGCCTGTGTCTCTTTCTCACTGTCTCTCACTGCCTCTGTCGCCATCTGTCTCTGAATCTGTTCTCATCAGACATGTGTGCCCTGTCTGTCCCGTCCCCTCTGTTGCGCGTGTCCGCCCGTCTCACCTGCCGTGTCACCTGCCGTGTCTCCCGCAGTCCCGCGGCAGCCTTCCAACGACCTGTTCGAGACGTTTGAGATCGAGCGGGGCATCAGCGCAGACGAGGAGGCGGCCCGGGACGACCCGGGTACGCGGGGCCAGGGCGGCGCGGGCAGGGGCCATGCGG